CATGACACCCCTGACATCTCAGGAACGAAGATAGTTAAAGATACCAAATTTACAGGGTGTGTTGACCTGTTCGTGAGCTCACTAAGATCAAAGTTTGAGATTCCTTGGGCATGATATTCGGGTCAAATAAGGTTAAACAGGGTCAAATTCCAGCTTGGTCTCCAGAGGGTCCCTAGAACCTAGATAACTGTTCTAAGCAAAAGACCACCTGCTCATCTAAGGTCAGTGACACTGTTTCACCTTTTGAAGTTCATGGTGACCAAAATCATACAAGACCGCTGTAAGTTTTCCATTTGAATAAGCGACAAAGGCTACGCTACGCAGTATGTTCCCCAAAACAAAATGTTGACTTGGGTCCTGCTAGGTCAGTCATCTATTTTGACCTTTAAAAAGTCTATGGGAGGTGTATACTGCGGTTCCCGTTATCAATGAATTCGAAATGAGCACCAGAATCTACCCAACACAGGAAGCGCTAGAGTAAGAAAGCAGGTTGGTTTTGACCTTCATCTGACGTGTATTCCTGACCCTAGGTCAATTTAATTTGTTCATTTAACTGTTGTGTTGCATTAGAAAGTATCTCGGATTTGTATTGCTTCGTCTAATACTCCGTTGTTGGATCAGACTGAACGATTCCCTAGAAATTGCCTTCGCTGAAACCATGACCTGACTTTGATCTGCCATTTGATCAGAGACCTTACAAGGTACATCTAAATTTCCGACGCCAGACGAGGCGCTATTCGATTGTCCACAGCTACGCAAAATTATGCCGGTCGGAAAGTACCCCGGAAAAATCTTTGGGGGGTCAGTTTGACCCCCACCCGAGCGCGTGTTCAGTGGCAAATGCGCTAATTTGGATTCTCTAGCTATATAGAGCATATTTCCGTAAAACAAATTTCACGTCTGTTGACATTGCAGAGTCTCATAAAGGATGTTTAAGGTTTGCGAATCGACTATTTGCCTTACCTCGCGCCAGGACGAACTCCGCATTGCTTCACTTAAAGGGAATATCGCTCCTTTAAGCGTCGCGAGGTCATTTTTAAACACCGGGAAATATCACGAATCCTACCACAAAATAATGACCAGACCTTCAAACCGACAAGACCAAAAGCTGTAGTACACGAGCATTTGCACTTATTTCACACTTACAGCTCTCGTCAGGGTTTGCTGCAGGTAGATGACGTTGCAGGCAGGTTTCAAAGTTACTCATTCAATTGACCTGCAACGTGGATGCCTATATTATGAGATCACGGCATGGGAGATCACACGGAGAACCAAGTGAGTTTTGTGGGTGCGCATTCGCGATTCCCCTATATGGAATAGTTTGCAGTTTTCCGATACAAAGTCCTGCTTAAGAACCAGGTACAAAGCATCGTTTCCGATCGGGAAGCCCAGGTGATGTGTGAACATTTTTCTTCTTCTTTTCCCACGCATCCCCGTACCTGGCCTCGGACAGTGAAACCGCACTGATGCAGCGCCGCTTCCCCATATATTGGCCGCTCTGAGTTGCGCCCAGAGGACCCCGGGGAGTAATGGTGCTGGTATTTCCCCTGGTGTTGTCAGATCTGGCAAGAGTAATGATGCTGGATCTCGGCTTGATGCATGGGATCTCGGCTGGAGATGGATGCCCTTGACAGTAATGATGCTAGTATTTGTCACCCGACCTTCTCTGTGGCAAGGCATGCTCCCTTAACGCCACGCTGGAATTTTACCATTAATGATATCTCGGAAACACAACGCTGTCGTGCTTAATGCTTGCCGCGTGCGGCGGTGGCGTTGTAGACGGAGTACGGCCGTCGGGCCGCACTCAGCTGCCCTTCCGCACCTTCCAACAGACGGCGGCCACCCCAGTCCACGGAGCCGTCATCCGGTGGGGTAGTGGACCGGCAGAAGACCTTGGCCCAAGCGACGGCGCCGACATCATTATGACCCTTGAATGCAGTGCTTTTCGGCATCAATCAGAGCTGTGGTGGTTTGCTTCATTGCAATACTCGCTTGTTTGTAAGCCAATTTCTTTCCGATGTAGGCGGCTGCTGATTCTGATTCAATGTGTAACCGGAGCCTTTCGGCTAGGTGCAGTAAGCCAGCGCGTGTCCATGAGCTTTTCGACGCTAGTTCAGGAATTTAGTCTGGCTGGAGCATGCCAAATGCGCCCATAAATCACACATTCAATGGTTTGTGAAGCTCCCAGATTACTGGATAAGTGTGACTGGGATTACGTTAGCATTCTTGGTTTTCATGCATAAAGGGACCGTATCGTGCAATTTAGCACGTAGTGCGGGAAGCCTATTGGCCATCCTGATTTATTCTTCTTCACGGAAGCTAATAATGCCTTACCTTACATTTAGTGGTTTTATTTTACCTTATCATAGATTATTAACAGTAAGGGCAAAATGGCACAGGAGCTCTGCAAGCTACCGTGCGACCAACTATACAGGTGTGAACTCGAATAAGCTATGCCTAAACCAAGCTGATTTTTTCTCCGCGCGGTCCCCACAAATAACATCGAGAATATCGCGTGTCCGGACCAGACCAGACCCTCTCCAGCCGCCGGATCCTGCCTGGACCAGGCTGCCGTGGGAGGGCGGCAAGACACCCGCCCCAGCCGGACAAGCACGGCCCGTCTGCTATTGATTGGGCCATGCCCGGCCGTCTGGGAGATTTGCCGGCGCCACGCGCGCTGCGCCAGTCATGTGCAGCAAGCAATCAGCAGGCCCGTGGCCGCTCCGAGAACAGCTCTGCTATGCATGACAACACGGCGGAGCTGCGAGTGCCGGCCAGAGAATGCAGACGCATTCTTGGACGTGTCGAAATCAGATTGGCCATGCGACCGATGTTCAAAAGATGGACTACCTAAGGTGTATAAGCGATTAATTATTCGTCTTGTTGACGATCAGGCGGACGGACGAAGCAGACTGGGCGGACGCACGGCCGGCCGGACAAAACGTGGATGAACATATGAGGCGGACGGGTCGCACAGTTTGACTAAGCATACTGTCTGTCACAGACGAAACCGACAGACAGTCGAACGGACAGATTGGACATACAAGCTGGTGGATCAGACGGACACATCAAACAGGATGACAGGAAAACGCAGCGCACAAGCTCAATAACGGGACGGAGCAGGCGAACGCACTAGACGGACGCAAACGGCCGAAGGTACAGGCAGACGGACGGGGCAATCGAATGCGTTGGACGGACAAAATAGGCGGTCCGACAGCCCAGGGGAGCAGACGGCCGACAGCCGCGGGGAGGAGACGGACCGACAGCCGCGGGGAGCAGACGGACCGACAGCCGCGGGGAGCAGACGGACCGACAGCCGCGGGAGCAAACGGACGGACAGCCGCGGAAAGCGGACGGACCGACAGCCGTGGGAGCAGATGGACCGACAGCCGCGGGGAGCAGACGGACCGACAGCCGCGGGGAGGAGACGGACCGACAGCTGTGGGGAGCAGACGGACCGATAGCCGTGCAGGGCAGACGGACCGACAGCCGCGGGGAGGAGACGGACCGACAGCCGCGGGGAGGAGACGGACCGACAGCCGCGGGGAACAGACGGACCGACAGCCGCGGGGAAGAGACGGACCGACAGCCGCGGGGAGGAGACGGACCGACAGCCGCGAGGAGGAGGCGGACCGACAGCCGCGGGGAACAGACGACCGACAGCCGCGGGAGGAGACGGACCGACAGCCGCGAGGAGGGAGGCGGACCGACAGCAGCGAGGAACAGACGGACCGACAGCCGCGAGGAGGAGGCGGACCGACAGCCGCGGGGAACAGACGGACCGACAGCCGCGAGGAGGAGACGGACCGACAGCCGCGGGGAACAGACGGACCGACAGCCGCGAGGAGGAGACGGACCGGCAGCCGCGGGGAAGAGACGGACCGATAAGCCGTGCAGGGCAGGCGGACTGACAGCCGCGGGGGGGAGACGGACCGACAGCGGCGCGGGCAGAAGGTCGGAGCAGTCGGCTGAGATGAGCCGACCGGTAATACGCCGTGCTCTGGTTGCCATCGATCGACTCTGGGCCGGCGCTGGGTCTCCCGGCCGCCGCCACCGCCCCAGATGGCTGCACCGACCGGCCGCCGGCGCGCCGCGTTTCGCCGCCGGCGCCGATCGTTGCGCACGGCCGTCCACCTGTGGAGCCGCGTCCCGGGGCTGGGCGGCCGGAGCCCTGGGCGGCGTGGCCGGGTCACGCTATGGCAGGGAAGAGACGGATGACGCCGCCCGCGTGGGAGTTTTCTGCGGGGCTCGGTGCCACTTGCAGCTATCTCAAGAGCTGACGATGATTTGTCACGCGGCTGTGGTAAAAGGCTTGCGCTTTAGGGGTGGAGGGGTCGTCGAGTGGGAGCATAGCTGACATACTTCAGACGGTGGGACTGAGCATTGACTGCAAGTGATGGCGAAGCACGCGATTTCATCCCGCGCTACTGCTACCATGTGATGCGTTGGTGGTTGTGCGTGTCTGACGAATTATAAATCAAAGTCCACGTTTGGGTAGTTTTCTAAGAAATATTAGAACCGCAAGTGGGCCTACCGGTGGCCATAGCGCCATGTTACCGGCACACATATTTTTGTTTGGCCAGGCACTTAAGATGGAATCAGGCAAGCGCATGTATTGACAATCAAGAATAGTTATTGGTACTAACGCATCATAGCCTCGAGTGTGATCGTACATTCGTCTATAGACGTGCCCGTTGGGTCTCTTCACGAGCTACTTAACCGTTTCTGATTGGTAGCCTGCTTTGCGTCAGAGATTGCTTACGTGTTGCCAGTTGCCCGATCAGTTCTTTCTGCAATTGCTCCATTAATACAATGAAGAAATGCCTGAAGAGACGCCGGAGGTGAAAATTTAAATGAGCGATAGATTGTAATTTAGGGGTGTGTCAAGTGCATCACTTAGGTGTTGTTGGCATATTTCATTGTGTTGGGGGAACACCAGGCAGTAAACGCTGAATGCATGGTGAAAGCCTTGACCTGTGATCTTTCTGAACAATTAAAATATGGGTGAATCAAGCGAATAGCTAACCCGGGAGGTTGCGGGACTAGAGCCCTGGCTCTCCGGCCGGCTCGATTTTGCATGCAAGAGGTAGAAGGGTCCTTCTCATACAGCAGGCATGTAACAGGCTTACATGTTATTTGCACAGCGAAATGCGCCGAATCGCTGCTTGTGTAGACTTGGAAGCAAAGTACAGAGCTGCCATGCTGAATAAACGTCGAAAATGGCACTTCAGTTGGCAAAGTTGAACCATCGGATGATTTCGCCGAATAACAAAAATAATCGCATTCAGACGAATAACGTATGGTAGGCGGTTGCTATTCTGCTGAATAGCGCGGTTGGTGAATCAGAGCGTGCTGATCAATCGCAATATCTCTGCCTACCACAGGGTCGCTAGTTCACATTTTGCCCGAAAAACAGCAGCGGAAGGCTCCGAAGATCCGTCGCGGTCCACTGGACGGTTTCACGCGCAAGAGCGACCGGGACAAGGAGCTCATCCGACAGTGTTTCCTGTTCAGTAATCACCTGATCCTGGCGACGCGGTGAGTCCGCCTGACGCTCTCGACCACGGCAGACTTTGGCGCTAACGACGCATGCTCGGCTGACGCTTTGTGGCACGGGAAGTTATGAGCAGGCACTGTCTGGCCAGATTATCTCCACCGCTTGCGGTATGACCGCCAATTGAACCCCTGCCAGATCTCATGATGGTCTTGCCAGCTGACCGACCTAAGCCGAGTCAAAATATTCGTGCATTCAGCTTCTCGCGAACCAGGGATGTCACCCGAGCGAGCCCCGCTTCGACGACCGGGACTGAGAGCCGGCCGTCTGACGCGCCGCGGCAAGTTTGACACGCACCGCTGTCTGTCTCCACCCGTCACTCCGGCCGGGGCAGCCCCTGCCGCCGCTGCCCCAGCTAATGCCGGCGGAGCAGCGACAGCCGGAGCCTGCAGGCGCTCCGTGTCGCGGTCGGATCACGCCGCTGTTGTCTTGTTGCAGGACCAGTAACGGTCACCTGCACCTCATCAACGGGATAGGACGCGTGTCGCTGGCCGATGCCATCCTGATCGAGGACCCGTCGGAGAACGACGACGACCTCGGTTAGTGCGCGAGCGGGTCTTCAGAATGTAGCTGTCCCTAACGGCGGGCAGGCCGTCGTCGGCCAGGGAAGATGTTGCTCAGACGAGGCAGAACGCTTGTTGCTGTTGTGCGCTGAGCTGTTCGTCTAGAAGGGCGAAGTTCCTTCCGGCCCGTACAGTAGGTGACTTCTTCGTATTGTAGCGTCACAATGCATTATTGACTGCAGCACTTCAGGATCAAGAGGTAAAGTTGGCTTACAAATGGTCGAAATTCCCTCACTTCAGCTGAAAGCCTGAGAGTGGCAATAGGTGATGCCGGAATAGCGTCAATGACACTACAAACCGCTGGGGTAATAATGGTCAGATTGTTTCCCAATACATGGATGTGCCTGGGCACCAAATGTCATGCCCCCTTTGACCAGGTTCTTGGAGACACCCACCGTTCAATGTGCAGCCACCGACAATCCAGTCGTGCACCAATCCACCAAAGGATGCGTACCGCGTATGGGCCTGCACACGAGTGTAGTCCGTCCGCAGCATATGATGACTTCCAGACAATCGTCAGGCTGCGAGTCACGCAGCTACGAATGCCACACAAATAACATCGGCACAAAACCATTCAGTTTCATTCGCCCGCGCGCCGCACCGGTACACCAGCGCGACGGAATCGGACAGCTTTCAAGTCCGCCCGTCTTTTGCCCCGGTCGTCACCGTGCCAGCGCCGGTGCCCGGCCGGCACCCGGTCCCCTCCCAAACGCTTGGGGCTTGAGCTCCGCACATTTTTCATTTCGCTTTGCATTCTTTACATTTAAATGAACGGGCATGGTAGCACGCGTTGGGAGAGAGAGAGAGGTCGTCTGGCTGCCGCCGACGCCGGCACCTGACGCGCCGGCCACCGTAGATTCGGAGACCTCCTCGTCGACCTCGTCGCTGTCCGACAACTCGACGGTGGGCCAGCTGCGGCGCGAACACATCGGCCTCGACTTCAAGCTCATCGTGGAGCGCAAAGGCGACACGCACCTGGTGCTCCACCTGGTGGCGCCCACCGCCCAGGAGAAGGCCGCCTGGGTCAGCGACATCGCCCAGGTCAGTCGGAGGCAGCCCGCCGCCTGTCCGAGGGGTGCCCAGGAGAAGGCCGCCTGGGTCAGCGACATCGCCCAGGTCAGTCGGAGGCAGCCCCGCCGCCTGTCTGAGGGGTGCCCAGGAGAAGGCCGCCTGGGTCAGCGACATCGCCCAGGTCAGTCGGAGGCAGCCCGCCGCCTGTCTGAGGGGTGCCCAGGAGAAGGCCGCCTGGGTCAGCGACATCGCCCAGGTCAGTCGGAGGCAGCCCGCCGCCTGTCTGAGGGGTGCCCAGGAGAAGGTCGCCTGGGTCAGCGACATCGCCCAGGTCAGTCGGAGGCAGCCCCGCCGCCTGTCTGAGGGGTGCCCAGGAGAAGGCCGCCTGGGTCAGCGACATCGCCCAGGTCAGTCGGAGGCAGCCCCGCCGCCTGTCTGAGGGGTGCCCAGGAGAAGGCCGCCTGGGTCAGCGACATCGCCCATGTCAGTCGGAGGCAGCCCCGCCGCGTGTCTGAGGGGCGTTGTTCGTGCCGGTGTGGTGATGTCCAGCGAGAGCAGTGGTGCTACCCCGAGTAAGGCCGCTTATCCGTCTGCATAAGATATTAAACAGATTCGTTGTGTGCCGACAAGTTTGGAAACACCTGAGCTATTGTGATTTAAAGATATTTTGCTAAAGGACTGCTTACGCAGCATAGCTTATGTAAGAAATCACGTTAATGTCGAAACGGCGTAATCTGTGTCCTGATAAAGCAAGTTCATGATTGTTACCACGGTGGTACATTCTAAGAATATCCCAGCTCAGATTTAAGGGCCCGATAAATGAGGTGTCCCAAAATAAGCGACCCAGAAAGGAAGAGCGCAGCCAGACCGTTGGCGAGGGAGGGCACAGGGTGGGCAAAGGCCAGCCCCCAACAAAGACCGCCGGATGTGGCCCATTTTTACGAAGAGCATATTTTTCTTATCTTTTCATTTTTACCTTCTATAATCGGAGCGGAACCCAGAAGCCACCACGAAATCAATTGTTTCTTAATTGTATCTTCAATGAAATGAAGAAATCATGCATTCAACGACTGCATGCGATACATTGTTGGCGCTTTTTGTTTTACAATGGTACAGCGGCCTTTTCCATCCTGTCCTGGAGCCTCTGTCCCAGGAACCCCAACCAATGTAAGAGGCTCTCTAACTGACATTTGAGCTCACGGCCTCACGGGCGGGGGGGGGGGGGGCAGTCCTTCGGGCCCTCCAGCCTTCAAATCTGGCTCTCGATGTTGCGTTGGTCTCTGGCCGAGTTATGCACCCGTGTTGCCTCAGAGTTCCTCAAATGGTGCAAGAGGCCTTCTGGCTGATATTTCAGGTCATGAAGCTACGAGCCGTGATGTGTTTTGTGTCCTAAAGACAGTCCTACGAACCCATGTGCCCTCCAAGCGGATCCTTGATCGTCGGTTCCGATGAGACGCCTGGATCTCTCGGCCCGCCCTTGGTCGGGGCCTCTTGCGAATGCAGGACCACTTGTCAGGTACTGTGGGCCCCTGACAGATACGGGGACCCCGACCAGTGTAAATCGAAGTGGGCCCTTAGGCCCATACCGGCACTGCCCGACTGTGTGGTACTGGTGGTGCCTGACCGACATATGGACCCTTACCAACTTAGGGGTCCCCAATCGGTGCAAAGAGCCCTCTGACTCTCATTTGAGAGCCCATCCCCGTAGGCCTGGGGCCCCTGAAAAAGACTAAGACAAGCCTTTCGTGGCTTTAGACCCTCCAATCGGGCCCTTGACCGTCGGTCCCGATGGGTCCTCCTGGCTCTCTTCCGGGCTTCTCGAACACTACCCCTGGCCGACTCGAGACCCCTTTGCCTACGGAGGGCCCCATGCCGGGCTCTGTGGAGGCCTTACAGACGCTGGGGCCTCGACCAAAATAAATCGCTGGTCCCAACTTTGCCTCTGCTTGGCAAATGGGCATCAGACCCATTCCGGCATGGAGCCGACTGTGCGTTTCTGGTGATACCTGACTGACATATAATCCCTTATCAACTCAGGGGGCCGTTGAGTCCCAAGGGGGGGGGGGGGGCTAGAGCGTGTGCCCCCTCTACCCACCCCCTGCCCGCGCCATTGCCAGCAAGTGATCATTCAGAAGTCAAATGCACCGTCGTCTGCAGCATTACATTCGTTCCATTTCCTTTGCACCCTCCGCCGCTGCTTTTGACAGATGCTGGGTGATGATGAAGGAGAAGGCAACTGGGGTTATTCGGTCTCGGTGACTTTGCTAATATCTCAGGCCTTTTCAGACCTTTCCGGCCAAGGCCTTTTCGACAAACAGCACGTTTTCACGATGTGTTGTAAAAGCATGCTGAAAGCATGCATGCGTGAAACAGCATGCTTTGGTCGGATCGAAGAGCAAATCGGCGGGTGTGGCCATATGTCAACTACACTGATGCCACGCGACATGCAGTTAACATGGGGTGCAAGGCAGAGCTCAGGCCATTCGCGCGATCAAATCACGGAGATCATGTACTCACGGATGGTAGCCACCACTCACGAAAATTGCAAACACTACATTCTGGCACGGGGCATATTTAAGCTAAGGGATCCATCCGGGCCTTGCGTGTTAAAGGGAGTAGCTTAACGTCAAGACCCGCCTCAGGACGTTGACGGCCTCTGAGTCCCCCCCCCCCCTCCCCCCTCCCCCACACTGACGGACTTCTCGCCGACAGTGCCTGGACAACGTGCAGTTCAACAACTGGTTTCGCAGCTCGGTCTCGGACACGTCGTCAGTGACCATGCCGCACTCGATCCGGAATGACCCCAAGCTCTTCCGCGACGACATCGACATCCGCTTCTCCAAGACGCTCAATTCCTGCAAGGTGAGGACATGTCATGTGAGCGTGTGGGCATGTGAGTGACCTAGATGGCTATGGATTAGCCTCCGCATAGGGTAGCCAGGTCCTGCATGCAGCGAACGGCAGAGACCCGTGCCCATGATCCGGAGATGAAAGCAAGCTGAGAGCAGCGAGCCGAGGCTGCAACAGCGTTACAATGCAGGATGTGGTTGTAGTAAAAGGTTTACGCTCTGACCATCTGTTCCGAGCTGTTCTGATCGTGCCGATTAGTCTGCTCAGTAAATTGGTATGATACAATAATGGCATTGTTATGGATGTGGTCGGTGATAATAAGTTACCTTTGTGCCCATGACCCTGTTGGTGTGTGTGACATGGGTTAAGTTCGTATCCCTTCAGGTCCTGTTATATTTATCTTTGTCCTGTAGTAGGATGCTTGGATTTTGCACAAACTCGTTAAAAAGACGCAACATGCAGAATGTTTATTCGTCCGATCTGACGCACCCGAATCATCTATCTGACCCTCCACTTTATTAGTCCCGTGTAGCTCCGTCCGTGCCCGTAACCCTGGTGACTCTGGTGACCCTGATGACTCCGATGACACCGACGCCTGATTCTCCGGGCAGGTGCCGCAGGTGCGGTACGCCACGCCGGAGCGGCTGCTGGAGCGACTGACGGACCTGCGCTTCCTCTCCATCGACTTCCTCAACACGTTCCTGCTGACGTACCGCGTCTTCACGGACGGCGTCACCGTCCTGAACGCCCTCAAGACCGTCTATTTCTCCGCCGAGAAAGGCGACTCGTGAGTACCGCTGAGCGCCGGGAGCAGCCTGCAGACCGGCGCCGGCTGCAAGCTGAATGTTTTGGTGTGGCGTGCTTGATGGCAGCCTGTTCTGTACTCTGAGCACGTGCGGAGATCGTCCGACATTGTTCCGACGTGGAGTCGTGCCACACTACGGTAAGCGAGGTTTGATCGCCATCCAGCGCACCAAAGCGGGGGCTCACTACATGCGGCTGACACTGCCCAGATTCAATGTTACCCATCCAGCCGGGTAGGGGGTGCGGCCAAGGGACATGCTAACTGCAGTGAGCGTGGATTTGAGCCTCGCGATTGCCGTAATACACACACACACGTGGTCTACCCTTGCGCGGGCAATGAGGTGACGCTGTTACCGATATATCCGTGCGCCGCACATTCCTGTCGTCATTTCTGGCCGCCTGGATGCCGCGTGAGGCCGGCACGACGGCGTCACAGCGTCCCCTAATGGCGGGACTCGGACGACACACGGCCAGATCGTCATCGGAGTCCGGGTCGGGAGCCGGACGGCTAACGGACCCAATGACGCGCCCCACACACCGGCGTCGGCGGAGACCAGGGCACGGACGCCCGCCGAGGGCAGCTGACTGTCCAGAGACCCCCAGCCAAGGGCACGTGCACTCTGGGAGTGCGACAGTGGCATGTTTGTGCCCCCAATATCTGCACGGCGGGGATCCAATGCAAAACATTCATCACCGCTGCCATGTTTGGGTGGAGAGCGGAGACTAAATGGCAAGAATGCGGCGGCAGCCAACTCACCGGCTAGTCCGCTGGAGTCGCTGAAAGGAAGTATGGGAATTGCTATACACGCATTAAAATCGCTCCGGTATATTTACTCTCGCTCACGATTGAAATGTAGTCGTGGCAAAGCTGGCTCCTGCCGAGTAAAAAAGAAAATCATCTGAAATGGCAGGCTGCACACGTAGCTGAAGTCAGTCAGGCCTGGAACAGCTGAGTTGATAGAGATAAAGCACCCAGAGCAGCATGTTAACAAATCTGATGCCATCAACCTCATGTCCAAGAGCGGCCACCTTGCGAGAAAGGTAATCTGAGACCCGGTGGCACCCACGCCGCCCGTCAATACGACGCTGTCTCTGCGCAGCGCACCGCAGCCAAACAAGAGCAATAAAAACGCTTGTCAACTTATCACCCGGTGGACGACTCGGGCGTGCTGACCTCACCGGTGATCGTCTGACGTCACGGCCGACCGTGTGACGTCATGGCCGGTAACCGGGGCGCGCGCGTGCCGCCGGCAGGGACGACCCAACATCACCGCCGGGGGAGGCGCGCCGGCGGGAGAGCGCTCTCAGCACGACGCTGCGCATCGGCCAGGGCGAGTCGTCTCGTCGCATCTCCACCGCCAGCACCGTCTCCTGTGAGCTCGGCCGGCCCACGCTCAGCGCCGGGTGGCTGGCGGCGGTGACGGCCACGTGCGGAGGGGGGGGGGGGGACGGGACCGGTAGACGCCGCTAGGGGGTTTGCAAGGGGTGCTCCTGCAAACCGTGCACGGACGTGGCGGTTTTGGTTGTATGTGTGTTTGTGACTGCTGCGAGATATAAGTTTATACGTGCACTGTCTAGCGTGAATTACTGACTCACGTTTTAAATTTTTATGTAGCAAGAAAATCACGACCTATTCAGCCGATCTTTGCTCGACTACGTCTTTTCCACCCAGAATGAACACAGTTTCGTTGAGCCAGCGCGGTACCAATTCTGTTAGTCTTTTTATGCGAGCCGTAGATGGGGTCCAGTCAACAGAATTGTAACTGAGCCGACTTAGATGTAACTGCACCAGCGTAAGGTAACAGTCCTACAGCTCGCATGCGTCGTAAATGGAACACAGTCATGTTTACATGTCAGACAAAATGAATGACGTACGCAGGTGTTTACCAAGCCAATACGCACTCTACGACGTACTCGTTTTTGTACTAACCTGAGAGATTCGCACGGCTCGCGCCGGAAATTTCTCTACCTGGTTGCACGGGCAACCTTAACGCTGTCTGACTTCGCGCCGACAGATCTCACCAGCCTTACCCATGCAAATTCACGCGGCAATCACATGTACCGAGCTCCGTCCAACGTGACGTTCCTGGACACGCACACATACCCATTCATGTTGTGGTATGAATTGGTGACGGAGCGCCGTGCTGTGTCGCACCGAGCAGGCATTTGCCGCTGCCTTCAGGTTCTCTGTGTTTGAGCCGTACACATCGCTGCCATTACTGCCCGCTCCCTGTGTAAACGCCTGGACGACCAGTTCAAATAATGGCACACATGACTTGTGGTGTCACCGGCGCCCCTGCCCCTCCCTCCACACACACACACACACACACACACACACACACACACACACACACACACACACACACACACACACACACACACACACACACACACACACACACACACACACACACACACACACACACACACACACACACACACACACACACACACACACACACACACACACACACACACACACACACACACACACACACACACACACACACACACCACACACACACACACACACACACACACACACACACACACACACACACACACACACACACACACACACACACACACACACACACACACACACACACACACACACACACACACACACACACACACACACACACACACACACACACACACACACACACACACACACACACACACACACACACACACACACACACACACACACACACACACACACACACACACACACACACACACACACACACACACACACACACACACACACCACACACACACACACACACACACACACACACACACACACACACACACACACACACACACACACACACACACACACACACACACACACACACACACACACACACACACACACACACACACACACACACACACACACACACACACACACACACACACACACACCACACACACACACACACACACACACACACACACACACACACACACACACACACCACACACACACACACACACACACACACACACACACACACACACACACACACACACACACACACACACACACACACACACACACACACACACACACACACACACACACACACACACACACACACACACACACACACACACACACACACACCACACACACACACACACACACACACACACACACACACACACACACACACACACACACACCACACACACACACACACACACACACACACACACACACACCACACACACACACACACACACACACACACACACACACACACACACACACACACACACACACACCACACACACACACACACACACACACACACACACACACACACACACACACACACACACACACACACACACACACACACACACACACACACACACACACACACACACACACACACACACACACACACACACACACACACACACACACACACACAACACACACACACACACCACACACACACACCACACACACACACACACACACACACACACACACACACACACACACACACACACACACACACACACCACACACACACACACACACACACACACACACACACACACACACACACACACACACACACACACACACACACACACACACACACACACACACACACACACACACACACACACACACACACACACACACACACACACACACACACACACCACACACACACACACACACGGTGCTCCCCGGCCGCCGACCACTCTGGCCGTCGGAACTGCCGCAGACTCGCGTGACGGAAGCGTGGCGTGTCGGACCAATTGGAACCGAGTGGGCTCTTCTGCGGACTGCGCCACAACAGGCGGACTGATCCGCTGCCTTAGCGGATCAGTCCGAAACCTTAGCGTCGGAGGATTTGGAAGCATGCCACACGCAAGCGGCAAAGGCGGAACTGAAGACGGGATCGGTTAATGGGAGCTTTTGGCGTTTCGAATGGACTAATAGTTGACTGGCATTGCAGTTTATTAGTCCCCAACGTACGTATGGCTTGAACGTTAATTGGATGTTATACCAAAACGACTACTGAGCAAATTGCTTTACTCTGATAAAACCGGGTCAAGATGTAGCCTTTCCTATGTGCAGCATACGTAATTTAAGTACATACGATGTTTTTCATGGCCTGCAGATGACGGAAGTGGTGTAAGATTTTCGAGGCTTAAATCGACAGTCAAAAAAGGACTTTTTATGTGAGGTTTCCAATTGTCCTCACATCGATGTGTTTTAATACATTTCACACATAGCGCTCTCACGGAAATAATTCATCCCCGGAATGACAAAGACTATAGAAATGACACCATCAACTCGCCCTTTTAACTGCGTATACGCAACAAGGTACAAATAATCCGCACAAAAGCCTAAATCACAGCGTTTAAAGTCACTCCATGCTCAGAGAGCCGGCAAACGCGTCTCCGAATGCACAGGCCGTCAGCTCTGACCCGACTCCATGTCGCACCCGCATGCCTGACCTGTGTGCGGTGCGGTGCTGACGCGCGGGCTGCCCCCAGGCGTCTCGGCCTGCAGCGAGGGGAACGTGTTCGAGTCGCCGCTGAGGGGGCAGCACTGGCGCTGGACCCACCGACGCTGTACGTACGGCCCGGGGAGCAGCCAAAGGCTTGGTAAGGGGGGCACACCGGAGTTGATGTGGGGGTCCGGTGAAAGCCCCACCATCAAGAAATGATCTCACCGGCTTTAGCGCGCTTTATAAGGCGGTGGACGGGACGAAACAGGGATTACAGTACCGCAGCGAATGTCCCATCTGCGCCTCTCGTTTTGCCGTAGTTCATTCGGTCCGTTCTACGCCAGTAACGTTCGGGTGCGCTGCCAGCAGTTTGCGTGTTATACACATCTATTTGGTGACCATGAATTGAACACCACGGATAATATAAACGGGCTTAAGCAGAATATGGCTGACCAAGGTTTGCGTGTGATTTTCCTTTTTTTCTCCTAAATGGCTTAGCATGTAACAATTACATGAAATAGTTTGGAGCTTGCGTGCTTGCAATCTTTAGAAGAAAAAAAACAGCCGGCATTGCAGTCTCCTTAAGCCACGAAGCGCTGACATCGCAGGTAACACCAGACAGTGGGCAACGAGCGGGTGAAAACGACCTGTTATCGGAAAGCGGTATTTACAAACAAACTCTTTAAAAAATAAGATATTCTGACCCGCATATCTCAACGGTTTTCTGGCTGGTGCTCGGAGTGCATTGGCGTTTCCAACGTCGCTAAAATTTTACGCGATGATGGAATGTCTATTGTTGGTGTTGCCGTGACTGTATTCCGTTCAGAGCATCCACATAAAATGACACGGTTGAACCTTAACGCCCGTCTCACCTTTCAACAGGACTTTTCTATTTAAAAATGTTTTCGTAAACGTCACTAGGAAACTAACATGAGGAAGCAGTCTGGTCTTACCTACAAAGACCAATGATTTAGAGAACTCCATACGGGTACATTAAACATTGGTCCCACGCACTGACGCAACAGGATTTCTTTCCAATACACGAAACCCAACCATTGGCACAGTGAATCCAGTTTGGCTCAATAGCCCCATAGCTTTAGCGGGGTAGGGGGTCTTTCGTTCGGTACTTCGTGTCCACAGGGCGCTTCCATCGCCTTATTGTGGACCCTATTTCGATGTGTCATATCTCCTTTCAATGCCAGAGGGCCTGACAGTGGGCCCTCTGGCATTCCCGCGCCACCTCTGTCTCTGTTCAGAAAATGTACCCATACTTGGAGCCCGTCGCCGATACTGCATCCCCTGTTAGGCACTTTGGGTCCCTGACCGACACAGGGCCGCTCATGGCCTCAGGAGTCGCGACAAATGCGAGCGATGTTCTGACTCACATTCACGTCACGGGCCCCGGACTTCCCCTGCCTGAGAAAGGTGTCCCTAGGCTGGCACGCGGCTAACTGTATCCCCTGCTTTCCTGGCCGGGTCTCTAATAAGGCCTCCGGACAGCCCTCCGAACCCTTAATCGTCGGTCCCGCGAGTCTTTCCGGCCCCTCGGGACCTAAGAGGGTGGATCACGTCGCCCATGCACCGACGTGATCGCCCTGCCTGCACCCTGCGTACGACCGTTGCTCAGTTAGCACAGCTCTCGTCACTCGCAGGACATCATCGGGTTGTTGGGGGTTTGGGACAGCTGGCAGGTCTCGCCCTGCTCCTGCTCCAAATCTGGACGCCATGGGGTCAAATACGGACTAAGTGGATGTTGTCGAAACTTTCCCCGCTGTTGAGTTCATTTCAGCAGAATTTACCCGCACATCATTGCTTGTCGTAAAACCGTAGCTTGTTTATTCCGTAGTAGATTCCTCTAGCTTGGCTGGACCTTGCGCACTTGCCAAGCTCCCATCCCTCCACACCGCAGTCCGCCCACCGTCCAGTCCCAGTGGCAGCCGCTGCTGCAGCTGAATGCCTGCGCGACGGCCGCCTGATCCTATCGCTGACGTGCCGCAGTTGAGGAGGAGCTACGCACCAATCCGGACTCGCTGGGCGGCAGCGCAGCCTCCTCGCTAGCCGTGGGCGGCCTGCAACAGATCAAGGAGCAGCCGTCGCCGTCCGGCAGCGACTGCAGCAGCCAGAGCCATTTCGTCGAGCTGCGCGACAAAGAGCGGGACGGCCAGTTCCTCAGCGTTCCGCCGCCGGCGGCCAGCGCCGCCACCGCCGGCGGCGGCAGCGACTCCAGCTCCGAAACCCTAGTCGGTGAGTGTCCATAGCTGCGGTATGCTGGCTAGTGAATGTCGACAGCTGCGGTATATTGGTTGGTGAGTGTCGACAGCTCAGCCACCACGGTTGTTGGGTGGCGTCAGCTGCCACACCACAGTGGGAGAATATGCATAGCTCCGACAACACGGCCGGAGAGTGTTGATTTCTGCGATACCACGGTTGTTGGCTGGCGTCAGCTGCCACACTACAGTGGGAGAATGTGCATAGCTCCGACAACACGGCCGGAGAGTGTTGGTTTCTGCGACACCACGGTTGTTGAGTGGCGTCAGCTGCAACACCACGGACGATTAGTGGCGGCAGATGCGACACCACGGCCGGTGAGTGGCGTCAGATGCGACACCACGGTCGGTGAGCGGCGTCAGATGCGACAACAGGGTCGGTGAGTGTTAATAGCTGCAGCCCCATGATCAGTGAGCAGCGTCAGCTGCAACACCACGGTTGGTAAGTGTTGTTAGCTCTGTCAAGTTTACCACCGGTTCACGTAACTGCACGGAAAAGGTGAGTAATATTCAAACCGATGCCGATGAATGGCAGCTATGTGTGACATGGAGCCAACCAAAATTCAAAATTAGGCAGTGTTCTGACTTTATCCAAAACAACAGCAGTACCCTGTCACAAAGAAAATGCGAGTCAGATGATCCGAAATGGGCCACAAGCTGGGTGAACATCGGGGTATTTAAGCTTTCTCTTCTGTTTCTGTCTCTGATGAGTGTTGCAAAAACTATCCACTCCCTGTCGTCCTGTTGCACAGTCCATGCAAAAAGTTGAAGATTATTTTTGCTTAGGAAAAGGCGAGTGATAAGAAGCCACCTGACACAAAGCTACACCAAAAAATAAAATTGGCATCATCAGACTGCGTAGTACTGGGAACCGCCTTCATTCAACACATCAGACTAATCTGAGAACAATGGGCCAATCCAAAGTGCTTCGAAAGAGGAATTCAATAAATGATCCGGTTTTTGTCGTCTTTTAGTGCTCTTCCGCCCCAGTTCGTTGGATTCCGTTCTGTCCACGACATTACTGCTGCGATACTGCTGCTCACGTCGTCTGGCGTCCATAAATATCTGCGCTGATTCCTTCAGCACCTGTGCCGGGGACGGAGCCAAGGGAGAGTCAAGGAAGCTACGTCCCACCCCACCGCCGGCCCAAGAAGTTTACGCTAGATACTGAGCTATTTCGTAGGAGTTCGGTCGAAGCTCGCAGGATTTGAGGGAAGGTTCGGCATTTGGCCCTTCCTCCCTGATGAAAATTTTGGCTACGTTCCTCACCTATGCCCGTTTCTCTTGGTCACATCTGATCCAACCGCAAAGGCAAGGGTGAAAATCACTACAACAAAAACCATACAGGCGAAAGAATGAAGTAATTTCCGCGACGGAAATGGAATTCTCGTCCCTCCCACGGATCTTTCTATTGTACCCGCACCTTCGAGCGCCAGCTGCCCCGAGTTCCATCCATTCCCGGCTGCCGACTATTTGTAGAGCTCTACTGCTCTACAGCTGCCGACTATTTGTAGAGCTCTACTGCTCTACAGCTGCCGACTATTTGTAGAACTCTACTGCTCTACTGCGCTATTTGTAGAGCTCTACTACTCTACAGCTGCCGACTATTTGTAGAGCTCCTACTGCTCTACAGCTGCCGACTATTTGTAGAACTCTACTACTCTACAGCTGCCGACTATTTGTAGAGCTCAGAGTGCCGCCCCATTGTCGTGACGCACTCTGAGGACAGCGTCTCACGGCTGGGGTGGTCACTCAGCAGCTCTTACCTCACAAAACCTCGACTCTTTGACTGCAGTAAATGCTGTGTGCTTTTCTGGGGTTAGATGCATTGTAAATGTTTTGAATCTGTGACAACTGGTGACCTTCCATTTGTGAGGGCCTTGGGCAATGTTTCCACTACATACCCAGTCATAAATTTATTGTCTACTTGGCATTGCTGCGGATGCAAAACATAAGATATCGTAGATCAGTGCCATCGTGGTCAGGTCAATGCCATAATCCCTCAACATCTCTCACTGAACACAAGGCCAGCCACCGTACGACAGACGATGCGGCCCACTACCTCCGAATCTGAGGCTGACCCATTTCAGACGCGGTCTCCACCTGATCACGTGGGTGCATGACTCTGGTCCTGACCGTGTCCTGCCTGGGAGATGGTCTCATCTCATAACCGGTGCCACAACGACGCAGCGACTATTTCAGAGACGGTCTAGCCTCATAACGTCCAGAGTCGCCCAATTATAACCGCGCCCTGCACCGTGTCTTATTCCGGCGACCTCACGTCTCACGACCCAATCCAGGTGCTGCGACTCTGACGGCTCGCTCACGTCCCAGGCACCGCGACCCTGACCGCTCGCTCACGTCCCAGGCACTGCGACCCTGACGCCGCGCTCACGTCCCAACACCGCGACCCTGACCGCTCGCTCCTGTCACCGCGACCCTGACCGCTCGCTCACGTCCTAGGCACGGCCTCGTCGTCGACCAGCGAGCGCACCATCACACCCGAGACGGTGGTGGAGCTGGCGGCCAAGCGGTGCCCCGAGCCGGGCAGCGAGCCCGCCGGTGGCGCCGCCCTGCGGACGGCCGAGGCCGACCGAGCGCCGCTGGGTGCGCCAGAGCCCGAGAAACCGCAGGTGGCGGCGGCTGGCAGGGAGAGCGTGAGTTGGCCGGCGCCTCACCGAGCGACGCCTGGCGCGCTGTGGGTCGGGTCACCTGGGCCGGCCGTGGTCGCACGTAGACCCGCTGCCTGGATAGGCATTCGCGGGTCGGTCTTGTTGATATTTTGCTACCTGGTACGTGAGTTGTTGAGAACGTGCACGGAGTCTATATCAATTTTAGAGCAGTTTTTACCTGTCGCTGGTTTAGTGGATGTGTTATAATGTCGATGTATCCCGGTCAATCGACCTATGACTATGGTGAGCCACCTGTGCTACTAAGTCATATAACTCAAATGAGTGATCAAGTGAACTGGTCAGTTACATAAATAAGCGTGGTTACCATTCCCTGGCCGACTTTGCGGTCGTTTGACTCACAGTGATTTGTACTAGTGCTTTACATATACAGTGCTTGCCAAGTGCGCACCAAGTGCAATAATAAACAATATACACAAACAATAATATGTCGAGCCTTTAGTGCTGACACGCAGTGTCGCCTATGTCCTGTGCCACTGTGAATTTTTGTCAGTTCATTTCGAAGCGTTCGATATCAATATGTTATGTCCCGTGTTTGAAATTAGGCTGGCCTCCTGCTAGACATCCTGCTGAGACTCAACGTAACCATTCAGGAGACGGTTGTGCTGCTGCGAGAGAGAACTGACGTCATCCGAGAGGAGGAGGAGGGTGAGGAGGAGGACACGGTGCCCGAGGGCGAGCGTTCCGAGGGAGATGGAGCCGAAGAGCAAAAGCCCGACGAGCACAAGCCCAAGACGGAAGCTGAAATTGCCAGCGAGACCAGGAGAAAGCGGGTGAGTTAGCCGTAATGTATGTCGAGTTTTGAATATGTTGGTAATCACATCCTGCTTTCGGCTTGGTGCGAACCTCGGTGCTACGTGCAAGCTCCGTTTTAATGCACTTTGCACGACGCTTCAATGCAGAGGCGAAGCAATTATTCAGCTTATGCTTTTCTGTTCTAAACAATGGGCAGAAGCTTATGTGTGGCTGTCATGTCTTCCCATTCCTTGAGACCTCCCCGCTTTGCTGGAAATTTCATCAATTTCTTGCTGCTGCGATTCTGCTGCAGAACACGCAGTGGCGCTGCGCATCCTGCTTGAGCATGCACTCTTTCGGCCACCCTCGTCGCCGGTTTGGCGCACCTCTGACATGATGACCACGCATAGCTGCGGACCGCCCTTGTTTAGTGAGTGCGCCGTACTAATTCGACAGAAACTGTACCAGAAATCGGAGAGCATCGTGCTGGAGGCGGAGGAGCCGTGGATGGACCGCTCGTTCCCCTCCTTCGCGTCGCGGGGCAGCACCTCGCTCAGCTGCAGCGACGCCTTCAGCATCCCCCGCACCTCCGGCTACAGGTACGAGTCGTGAGCAGGTAACAGCTAATAGATTCCGTTTCGCCGTGTTACGCAACTGTTCAGATGGTGGTGGACGTGTGTGGCTATGGTTCCACGACGCCCTCAGCCGTTGGGACCATACTGCGTCGCTTGCGTCTCACCCTGCAGGGAGGACGGACACCGCGTGGAATCAAATCCGTACCTCTGGTTTCCCAGACGCATAGCTAAGGTGCTGACCTACCGGCGCCTTCAGGTGTCGTTCACTGGTGCTGTAACTATAAGCGTCGCGTATATTGCATCAGTTACCGCTGTTAGAGGCAGTGTTGTAAGGCGCTATCTGCCGGATGCAGCTAGTTCATCGCTGGGTTATTTGTCGACGCATACCACTGCTAAGATTATTGGTGGCACCGCACGTCTAAACTTGACCAGTGCAGGTTCCCTGCGCCAGGAGTCGAACTTGGACATCTTGATCTTGAATAAAATACTGTAACCATCCGGCCGCCCAAGGGTGCCACCCTCGCTTAGCTCACGTGGCTATTTACAAACAGTCGGAGTAGAAATAATGCACACCGTCTGAACTGCCGTCGATTTAAGAGCCTTATTTATGGTGGAAGTGTTCAGGCCCGGCACATCAGTCGATATTTGCCGTGTTTGTGTTGCGAACTACCACCTAGTTTACCACCTTGCAATGCCGATGGCTGATTCTCGTGGCATTGAATCAATCTGGGATGATGATTTAAATGCTGAAAATCCCCCATAGCTGACGATAAGCTTGTCTGCATCCCTCCACGATCTCCGTCATCTTATTTTCACGCTCTGACTTCAAAGCATTTCGTAAAATACGACATCAATGGATCCTGGATTTTGCGCAGTATTTGCTTCATTACCCCCATTGCAAGCAACTAATTGCTTTCTAACGAGATGAGGGCAGTACTCTTGCTTTTGAACCTATCGGCTTATTACATGTTCGAAGCAGGGGTGTTAAGAATCTGATTTATCAGTAACGTGCTGAATATTCGTCCATGGGACACGTACGTAGGAAGAATGTCCGCATACCGACACCCAGAGACTCTCGGGTGAGCCCTCCTTGTAGGGTAAATGGCTTGGGCCGTGCTCCAACCTGTCTGCGTAACATGCTCACTAGAGCACGCGCCCCTGTCCCCTGTTTTCAGTGACACGCTATCGATCCCGCGTGGCTCGGCATTCAGCGATACCATGTCAATCCCGCGGGGCATTCTGAGTTCGGAGACGCGCTCAGCACGCCGCGAGGCTCCACGTTCAGCCGCACCTCCGAGGGACAGCTCGTGAGTGGCTTACCTGGCCGAGATCAGGCTTTTCCGCTAGGAATCTCCATGTTCCGAGACGCGCTCAGCACGCCGCGAGGCTCCACGTTCAGCCGCACCTCCGAGGGACAGCTCGTGAGTGGCTTACCTGACCGAGATCAGGCTTTTCCGCTGGGAATCTCCACGTTCAGAGACGCGCTCAGCACGCCGCGAGGCTGCACCTTTCGCCGCACCTCCCAGGGACAGCTCATAATCAGGCTTTGCGGGGGTCTTTTTGGTCGCGCTGTGCGTCTCTCCAATGGGTGTGCGACTTTATCTGACTGTGGTCGCGGTCATTTCCTCGCCGCCAGCTGTTACCAAAGGCGGGTCACAAGCGCCTGAGCACAAACAGCGCGCCGCCGATGGTGGGACGCTCGGACAGCGCCTACCACACGCCGCGCACCAGCTTCCAGTACCCGCCCGACAGCCCGCAAGCATCCCGAGGGCCGGCGTTGTGGTCACCTCGTCCCGCCAGAGCCAGCGGCGGTAGGTGGCGCTGCCTATGCAGTATAGGTGGCGCGTTGGACCGCTGGACGGTGCAGGCGGCGTGTCCTGGCCTCGCGTCTGCTGTGCCTCGCGATCGATACGACATTTGACGACGACCGGAAATTGTTCTTGATGCAGATGAGGTCGTAAACAGATGGGATCCACGTATGTGTATCAGTGTAAATCAGGGCGAATGGTAGGTACACGCATTTCAGAGCAATTCACACCGCGTGTCTCTGATTAAGGAGCAGCGATTTCGGAGCGCCCCGCCGCATAACCATGCGGACTACGGACCGTTGTGTGCCTGACGCACGGGAGCGAGCAGCCGCGCAGCGTCGTGACGGTCGCCACCGGCGCACCGCAGGAGCAGCAGCAGCTCCGCCGCCTCGGCCTTCGCCATCGCGACGGCTGGCTCCTCCAATCCGCGCGACCACCCGGCGCCCAGTCAGCAGCCGTGGACGGCGGCCGAGCGGCGCCAGAGCTGCAAGCGCCAGGAGAGCATTGTCCTCCACGGCGGCCACCATGCGCGTGCTCAACGTGCTCCGACACTGTGGGCTCCAAGCACTTCCAGGTGGGCGAGCTGGCTGTACGCTCCTGGGGCCCGCTGCTGTCCGCTGAAGATGTGTGCGGCGGCGCTGCAGGGCTGGTGCGACGCCGTTGCGAGTGCGACGCCGTTGGCTGAGGTGACGTGGAGGTGAGGCTTAGTGGCTGGAGTGTGGGTAGTCCGACATGCAGATATTTCAGCCGACGAGTGGTTGGCGCAGGTTTTCCGGCACTGTTTGGGTGGGAGTCCGTTCTTCTGACAGCTCTTGACGCCCTCACAGAGACGAGACTCTCTTTGATTCCTATACTGAGACGCATGCAACGGCAGACCGACCAGTTCTGGCCGCAGAACAAGTTTATTGGTCTGTGTTACCATATTACATCAGTTCATAACACACTCGCACACTACCAGAGATCAAAAGAAGTTTTACAATATCTCGGGCCAGGAAGTTTTTCAGATTAACGGCGATCGTGCATTCGATTTATTGTTGGACTCCAACAAGGATTTGAATTTAGGGCTGTTTTTCGCGTGAAGCCTCATGGCCACGTTTCGAGTGTCAAGTGAGTGGCAGATCTGCAGGACATTTTCATTATTTACAAATCGACGCTTACAATATGCATGAAACAAGCTCGGTCATCCATGGATAAATGGGGGACGAATCATGCGACTTTTCAAGCGCCAACATCGATAAATGTTGTGCATTTCTGCACTGTAGGACTTTGAGAGCGACAACCAGCTGAAGAACCTGACGATCGAGTTCCTGGAGGACGTGATGAGCTCGCGGACGATACTGCCGACCGAACACAAGGCGGCCAGCCAGCTGTACCACATGATCACGAGGGAGGAGCCGGCCAGAAACCGCGTCACCTTGGACAGCCTGCTGGCAGCCGCCGCTGGTACGACGCCTGCCAGAGCGGAGCATTGACCGGCGTTCGCCGACGTACCTTTTCACGTTACGTCATATTTTCACATGACGGCAGCAAGCGACGGCCAGATTCCATGTTGTTATTGGATAATTTTGGCAATCACGTGATTGAACAGTTCAATATCAGCACCTCATAAGCCACGTTATTATAGCCGACAGTGATATGTGCGCGCGAAAGAACAATGTTCCCACCACGCTTACGATCATGCGCTGAGTCTGAAAGCCTTTGCCAAGCTTCAGCTAATCAGGGCAATGCGCAACATGTGTATACCACGCGTAGAGCTTGTCATGTGTTTCCTTATCTTCATGCTGAGACTAAGGGAGCTGTTTCGTGCCAAAGCTCAACTTCAGCTAGCCGCTGGCCTCCGTTCCCAGACGCCCAGCATGGAAAGCATAGACACCTTGTCTGCTCTGGACATTGCGGAGCAGATGACGTACCTGGACCACCAGATCTTCATGGCTATCAGGAGCGAGTGAGTAGTCCTTGGCGGGCTTCAAACCGCGTTCAGACCGGTTGTTTTTCAGGTGTGAACAGTGCAGCAGCGTCCGAAAAGAAGGCGGCCCATTGCCATTGTCCCATCGAACCCGTTGGTCAAAGACGGCTGGTCAAGAATGGACGAGCCATATTCCGTCCGAAACCCGTACCCGTCCGTCCGGACCCCGTACCCGTCCGCCCAGACCCCGTACC